TGCCCACAGTATGGCAATGTTGCCAACAACTTTCGCAACAGCGTCCGCAGGAGATTAATTCGCAGCAAGAAAGCAGAGGGTCGGGCTCAGCCCCAGGCGCCCCCAGGCGTTCCCAAGCGCCCACATGCGTTCCCAATCGCTCCCAGGCGCTCGAAGGGGGCTGCGTCGACAATGCAATCGCCTCAGCGGGGGCGACGCCAACGGCCGAGCCCAACGGCCAACCCACGGCTCGCATTCGCGGCGCGCACTCCGCGCTCCCAGACGCCACCACGTGCTTCCAGACGCCCCCATGCGTTATCAAGAGCTGGAGCGCGTCCCCCAAGCGCTCAGAGCGCCCTCGACGCGTTCCCGGGGCAAGCTCCAGGCGTTCCCCCAGCGCTCCCAAAGAGATCCCCCAAGGCATTCCAGGGGGTCTGCCATGGAGGCGGTGCCGCAGCCACGCGCGCGCATTGTAGCGAGAGGGTGCCAGACCCACCTCCTCGCGCCCCCCCCCCCCGCCTTCCGAAGCTCGCGTCGAAAGCGTCTGCGTCGATGATTGCAATCGCTTCAGCGGGGGCGACCCCGAAAGCGAAACTCAAAGCCGCGGGCGAATGGAACTGCCGCGCGCGTCGCCAGAGGAGCCCGACGGCGCAGCCACTCGCTCGAAGCCCACGGGAACCATGGGATTGCAGCGCCAGCGCCCTCGCAGCGCTGCTTTCCAATGCCGAAGGCAAATGCCGGGCCCGCGTGGATCTGCTGCGCCAGCGGCAGTCCAACGACGAAGCTCGGCGCAGACGGCTGCCTCATCGACGAGGCGAGCTGACGCGCCAGCGCCATGCACCCTGCATGCGCGTTCGCATGGGCGCGCATTGCCACGGCCGCGGCCGCGCGCGCTTCCCAGCATTCCCGGCCCAGTGTCGCAATCCAGTGCCGAAAGCAAAAGCGACGACGCATGGACATGCTGCGCCAGCGGCAGCCCAACGGCGACGCTCAACGCCTACATCGCTAACGGCTGCCTCTTCGACGGGACAACGAGCCGAAGCGCCTACGCCGCGCGCCCTGCGCGCGCGCGCGGGCGCGCAGTGCCGCGGCCGCGTCGGCGATCGCCTGCGCGCGCCACTTCGACAGCCCCCCGTGATGGTGAAAGGCTTCACTCTGGGTGGTCTGGGGCGGGAGCGCGACTAACCGTGGCGCGCGCGGCTTGGACAGCGACCCCCCCCCCCCCCCCAACAACCTTGATGCGGGGGGTGTCGCAGCCAGCGCGCTTGCGCCAATGCAGGCCCTAAACCCTTAAACCCTAAACCCCGCTAAACCCTAAGCCCTAAACCCTCAAAACGAAAACGCCACGTATTGAGCAAGCTCGAATGGCGCCATTGCGAAAGAAAGTGCGAAGGAACGAAGCCCGAAACTTTTGATGGCGAGGGCGGCGGAGGCGGCGGGGGCGCGGGCGCGGCGGCGATGGTGAGACTGTTGAGGATGAGGAGGAGGAGGGGGGCAGCGGGAGTGCGAGAATGATGCCGCGGCCGCAGCGGGCACGAGAGCGTCAGGCGCCACGCTGGGCATGGGCCGCGCTGCCCGCGCGCTTCCCGGGGCCTCCCGGAACGCCCTTCCTGGGTGCTTCGTCCCCAGGGGGTCCCGGGGTGTCCGGGGGCGGTCCCGGGAGAGCGCCGGGAGGGTCCCGACCCGGGGCGGCCCCGGGGCGAGCCCGGGGAGGTTCCGCGCCTGGAGCCCGATCGCGGAGTGCGCAGCATGCGAGCATGCGAGCGGGCACGCGCGAAAGGCGCGCAACGGGCGCTTCTGGGGCGTCTGGGAGACAGCCGCCGCGCGGGAGGGGGCACGCACGGAAGCGCTCTCGGCGATGGCGCAAGCCAATTGACGCCGCCGCGACACCCGCAGACGCTAATACGTCCCAGCCCACCGAACCTCTTAAAAGTAAGGAAATCCTGGTGTTTTTCAAAAGGAAAAACCTGCCCTCTTATTTTCCCGCCAAATCTACATTATTTTTAAAAATTTATTAAAATATTAGAATGCTCCTAAGAATTAAGAGGTTTATGTTGTGTCATGCTAGCACATGGTTTTCTGCCCTGTGCCTGCGTTGTGTCTCTGGACCGCAACTTCTTTGTTCGGTCAGGAGTCGTGCAGGGCTCTTTGTGACCTCTTGGAAGCAGTTGTGGAACCACTTGGAAGGCCGCGTGGGGGCCTGCGTGAATACTTGCATTTTTTGTGTGCGGAGCTTCTGCGTCGGTTCTAAGGGTTATCTTGCGGCCCATGGGAAAAGCGGAAACCCTCTCGGCGCCGCCATGGAAGTAGATTGGGCCGTCTTGGGCGTTTCTTGGGTTGTTGTGGTTTCCCTTGCTTTGGCCGCTCTCGTCGTGGTCGCCGCCGTCGTTGTCAACCTCCTCCGCCTCCTCCTCCTCCTCGTTTTCGTTTTTCCTGTCCTCCTACCCCTCCTCCGCCTCCCCCTCCTCCTCGTCCTCCTCCTCCTTTCCTCCTCGCCCTCTTCCTCCCCCCCATTTCCTGTCGGCGGACGCGGCGACAGCCTTTGGGAATGCAGTGGAGGAGGAGGAGGAGCAGCAGCAGAAGCAGCAGGAGGAGGAGGAGGAAGAGCGGGAAAACAAGGACGGTTGTTTCCTGCAGCGTTGGCACCGCCACAAATCTCACAACCTGTATTTCTCAATCGCACTCCGATGAATGAAACCACAATTCTGTGCACTGTGCGAAACCGACCCCGCGCAAATACCGATCATATCTTCGTCGGCGTAGTTCCATGATTCTCTGGGGTTGCCATGTGTATGGTAGTCTTCCTCGGCCAAATGAATGAACAAGTGGTGCTTCGGATACACCCTGTACGCGCCCCACAGAGTGGGACGATCACGATGGCTTGATAACTCAACGTAAAGCAAGAGATGCTGTCGCGCCAGCCTGCCGAGCTTTGAAGACATGAACTCAGCTGAACCATCGTCAATTTTCGACCTCGGCAATTCTTTATAGAATAGGTGCAGGGCAAGAAGGCATTCAAACCTCAAGCGTTGGTAGCCCTCCGTTGGCGGGAAAATCTTCTCAAGTATGTAATGTGTCACTGGCACCATCAGTCGAGTATCTGAAGCTTTCAACGCCAAGCGAGGAGCTGTCTGTTTCTTGCCTTTGAGCATACCAATTGTCAGTTTGTTCAATGGCGGCCTGGCGTAACCAAGCTGTTTGCTCGCGTGCTTGATGAACACCGTTATTTGTGACAGCACCTCTTCAGATTTTGTCAAGGAGCCTCCAAGCGGGCACAGCATCTCCAACCATATATTGCCTAGCATGTACTGTGTTATCCCTAGGTCGCACACATGCATGAGGTCCAGCACGATGTAAGGCAGCACGAAGCCTGGCAAGCTCCAGAACACCGAATAGTATTCACCATCTTGAAGCACTTGAATCATATGGTCACGGTGTGACAGAACTGTAGATCTCCATGCAGCGTCTTTGCTGGCATCGTGGAATGGAAACGAGTGCCTGTCCGCCGCGCACCTGAAACACATTAGTTTGGTAGGGCCGTCGCCTTGCCAACCTCTGAGGCCGATGATTCTCTTCAAAAAATCCCAATCAAACCGGCCTTGTATGACACCCCCTCTGCGTGCAATCTCTCGACCAAGGGAGGCTCTGGAAGCTCGTTCAGCGTCCCCTCGGTACGTGGAAACCAAAAATGAGACGCCATCGTGTCGCTCGAGTGGGTATTTTCCTGCGAGCCATATCCTGAATGACCGCGTCACAACAGACCAAACTCCATCATAAGTGCAACGGCCCTTGCACCCGCAGTTGCAATACAGCGAACTAGGGATGACGCAGATCCAGTGGCGAGTCTCGTCGTCGAGACAGCTCTTGCAATTCCAATGGATCAGAAACAGTTTATCCTTGTTTGTGAAGGGGGCCTCGTCGCCCCATAGGCCCACAGCCACGGCGTTCCGCGGGTCAGCCAGTCCAACCCGAGAAGCCCATTCAAACCTGGCTCGGTTGAGGACAGCGCCTTCTGGGAAGGTAGTCCACGCATCAGGTTCATCTGCCAGGGCCTCGAATACTTCGTATGGCAGCAGGAAGTTCACTAGATACTGCGCCTTTGAATGTGAGTCGTAGTCCCACAAGTCGATCATAGCTTGGTACACTTCGGGCATTCTGGATCTTTTCCGAAGGCCAGTCACTAGATCACGATGGGCGTGGTTGGGGTTCGCTGGAGCAGCTCGACCTGACATCGCCATCAGCTCATTGACCTCGGCTGCAGAAAGCTTGCATTGTTTGAACCTCTTCGTTGCGAAAGCCTCCACTCTGTCGGCCAGCTCACCAGCAGAAACAGCAACTGAACGCTTCGACTTCTCGTCGAGACCGAATTGCTGCCTGAGCCCATGACCAAATCCTGGCATAAAGATAGCATGAACGAGTAATACTGGCGCGAGCGCAGTCAAAGTCATGATGAGCGGGTCACCGCTGGAGCCAAAAGGCTGCGGAGGATGGAGGCCAGAGGAGGGGGAATGGAATCGGAAGGCATTTGTTTGGGGGTCAGGCGATTCGGGCCGCGGGTTCCAGTGGCACTTAGGTGAGAAGCGGGGGCCCGCGTTCTGATTTCGTTGATGGGGCGTTGGCTGCAATGAGATGATGCTGATACTGATGATGATCATGTTGGTTCCAGCGCTGGCCACTGGGGCCTTCGGTGGAGCTCCATGCGGGGCCGCGAAACGCGCGAGGGGTGGTGACTACAGCGTTGGTTACGATGACGGTGGTGCTGGTGGCGATGATGCTGATGCTGTTGTTGATGCCGTTGATTTTGATGATGATGGCGGTGACAGTGCGATGATGACGACGATGTGCCTCTGGAGATGCTGCTCGTCCAGAGCATGATCATATGCTTCTTAGCAGGGGCGCTGTGCAACTGCGTATCTGGTCGAACTGCTGGAAACAGCATGCCTGGCGATATGCCGAGCCCCCGTGCCATCAGCCACGTCGGGCGCCAGGCGATGAATACATATGCTGGGCGATGCATCGTGTTACTGCGACTTCTTCAGCTTCGCGAAGTCGGCCAGTACGTCCTTGCGATACGTCTTGTACGCATCGTCGACCTCCTTCATCTTGTCGGTGATGGTCTTGGTCTGGTCGGCGTACGACTTCACCTCATCGAGCTTGTCAATCTTCTTCATGTCGGCCCAGACCTTGAACAGCACATCATTGTTATCCTTCTGCACTTGCGTCTGCGACCTCAGATAGTTCAGCGGCCCTTCACCCCAGGAAGTCTTCGCGGCCATGCGGTCCTCGATGACGTTGACCTCTCCGAGCTCCCTCTGCACCTTGTCGTACTGGACCTTGGCCCTCTTGATCGCGTCCTTGAAGTTGCTCTCAGCTTCGGCCAGGGTTTTCTCGTCCTCGAGCGTCTTCTTCTCGTCCTCGGTCAGGGTCTTCTCTGGAGCGCCTCCGCCAGCAGAGCCAGCTGCTGAGCCCGAGCCTGCCTCATTGCCCTTGCGGCGCTTCTTCGACGGGGGCTGCACCTGCGGGACGACCACCGAGCCATGGTTCTCCATCATACTCTTGATGTCTTCGACGGAATCCTCTGGCACCTCTGCCTGGGTCGTGAGCGTGGCCGACTCGGTCCTCCGCTTCTCCCAGGCGTCCTTCACGTTGATGGGGCACTAGTACTGAATGGCCTTCTCCTTCGCGAGAATGGGCGACTCGTGGAGCCGAGAGGGGGACTCTCCTCCGAGGCATCGTGCCGTACGTGTGCAGGACTGTTGATCCCCATTGGCCCCCCGTACTCCTCGATCGTCATCCACGCGTGCTCGCCCTTCTCGATGAAAGAGGACGACCTGGAAGTCTCGTTCCTCATGATCGAACCGCCCGACTTCGGGCCCACGATGAATGCCGCAAGCCACTCGCGACGCTCCTCGTCGCCTCCGAGCTTGCCGTACTCCACGTACTTCTCCGAGTGCGAGCTCTTCAGCACGGTGTTGAGGCTGCTGAAGGCCCGAGACCTCAGGGAGCGTTCGACACCTGCGATTACTTCACCCGTGATGCTGCCTCCATCTTTGAGCAGCTCCCTCTTCAACTCCTCGCAGGCCGATGGTAACTGGTCAAGTGGCGTCTTGGGTGGCATTGCTCACAATGCACGGATACCGCAACTACATAAGCCACGTGTGTTACGGAGGATGAGGGTCGGAAGCTCCCGAAGAGCTCGTTCCAACAATTCTGGTCAACAGAACGCCATCTAGCAGTCGCGCGTTCTTCCCTATGGTTAGAATTCTCGACGCTTCGCGCACCCCCACCAGCCCATCCACGCATGCAGACGCCGTTCCTGGGACTTCAGCATCCCGAATCAACATGACGGCTACGCCCTGACACGCCTGAATCGTTTGAACACACCATTTCTTTTACGTTAACCATTCGGCCCAGCCAACTTTGGGCACACGTTTAAAAGGAACGTGCGCGGCGCTGTTGCATTGATTTATGTGCGTTTCGAAATTTGGAGCCACCGTGGGGCTCTCTTGGGGTTCTCTTGGGGCCATCCTGGAGCTTTTTCTTTGGGCTCGCTTGAGGTCCCCTTCGGTCGGGCCTTCTTGGGGCCCTCTTGGGGCTCTTCTGGGGCGCCGTGAGGCCCTCTTGGGGCTCTTTGGAAGGGTTGGGGGGGGGCTTTTGGGGCCGTCCTAGGCCGCGTAGATCAAAAAGGGGTGGGTAAATTCTTGACGCTTCGCGTATCCCCACCAGCCCATCCAGAAATGATCAGCACGGGAGTTGGTGAATCAGGGGCAGCAGAACGCATGCAGTCGCGCAGCCGCCTTCGAGAGCACAAGCAGCACACATAGCTTCCCGCATTGAAGCTTAATATTGAAATCGGTGCAAGTTACGATGGTGCTTCGATGAGAGGTGAGGGGTATTTCGATGACTCGTAATGGCTGTTGCACTGATGTGTATATTATACTCGCGTGCGTTCCGAAACTTGGAGGCATCTTGGGGTCCGCTTGGGATTTTCTTGGGCCCCTCTTGGGGCCTCCTGGGGCTGTTTCTTGGGGCTCTCCTGAGGTCCTCTTAAGGCCTTCTTGGGGTTTCTTGGAGCTCCTTTGGGGCGTCTTGGGGCCCTCGGAGGGGCCCATGATGTCCCCAATACGGCCACAAAGCGAGATGCGGCCGCATCTCGCGCTGTGGCCCTATTGAGCTCTTTTGCGAGAACATGCCCAACACCAGGCGCCAAGATTTTCAAACTTATTGACGCCCTCTTTTTGGCTTAGATCTCCTCCCGAGGGGTGGGGCGCCCTCTCTCACAGGGCCGCGAACAGGCCGAGAACAGGCCCAAAACCAGGCGCCCATATTTTCAAACATATTGACGCCCTCCTTTTGGCCTAGATTTCCTCCCGATGGTGCGAGGCGCCCTCTCTCACAGGGCCGCGCACAGGCCGAGGACAGGCCCAAAACCAGGCGTCAATATTTTCAAAAATATTGTCGCCCTCTTTTTGGCTAAGATTTCCTCCCGATGGGGTGATGCGCCCTCTCACAGGGCCGCGAACAGGCCCAACACCAGGCGTCAATATTTTCAAAAATATTGACGCCCTTTTTTGGCTTAGATTTCCCCCCGATGGTGCGAGGCGCCCTCTTTCACAGGGCCGCGAACAGGCCGAGAAGAGGCCCAAAACCAGGCGTCAATATTTTCAAAAATATTGACGCCCTCTTTCTGGCTTAGATTTCCTCCCGATGGGGTGAGGCGCCCTCTCTCACATGGCCGTCCAAACGCAGGGAGGGGGGGGGGGTAAACCTCCCGAGCAGGGAAAGGCAGGAGGTTGGAAAGGGAAACGCTCTAGACCACCTGCGCCCAGAGGGCTGGTGGGATTCGGATGGCCCCCATCGGTTGCTCAAAAATACAGTCTTGGGGCCCTCTTGGGCCGCTCTTGGAGCGATTGCGGGCGCTTTGGGGGCCCTCGTGGGCGTCTCTTGGGCCGCTCTCGGGCCATCCTGGGGCAATCTTGAGGCCTCAAGAGCCCATCGGAAGCGAAAAGGCGCCAAGGCCAAAACCATTGATTCTCCTTGGGTTTTGGAGCCATTCTGGCCTCTTCGGGGGGGGGGTCCTTGGAGGCCTCGGAGGGCACGTCAAACCGTCTTGGGGCCGTCTTGGAGCCTCTTGGATGATTGTCGGAGGCTAGCTTGAGCCAACTTGAGGTATGTTTTTGGGCCATATTGGAGGCCATCTTGCGCCATCTGGAACCCAGAAGGGCCCTCTGACACATCGCGGGGGGGCCCGTCCAGAAGCTGGGAGGGGCGGGGAAGGCAAACCCCTCCCCGAGCAGGGAAAGGTTGGAAAAGGAAACGCGCTAGACCACCTCCGCCCAGAGGGCTGGTGGGATTGAGCAACTCCTTGGCAGCAACGATTGCCCGAAAGTGCACGATACCCTGATGCCAGTCTCCTAGGACTCGTTTGTTTAACTGGATTTGCTCAAAACGTCAGGGCTCAGGAGGGCCCCCCAAGGGCTTGCATGCCTGGGACGCTGGATACTTCAGGATGTGGCTCACTGATTTTCCAACGCACAACCCCTAGGGCCCACGGGCGGAGCAGCGCGACGAGCAGTGCGACGAGGAGGACGAGGGCGCGCGCAGCGCCAGGCTCACTGGGCGTCGCACGGCGCACAGCTGAGAATTAACTGGCGCCGTTCTGCAGCTCCATATCCGGCACATATCCGGCAGGGGGTGGGGTGACAGATATAAAAAGTTGAAAAACACAAGGTTTTTTCACATTCTACATCTGTCCCCCCCCCCCCCCCCGACAGATATGTGACAGATATGTGACATATATAGCGGCAGACAGCGGCGCGGGCCGACTGCAGGCTCGGCTGAGACAGCGGGGCTCGCGGCCCCTGCAGGTTGCCTAGTCCTCACGACTTGCAATCTCGCGGAGCTGCATGTAGTCATCGTACGTGCCCTCGGCGGTCGCCTCCAGGACCATCATGTCATTGTCGCTATCTGCGGGACTCTGGGGTGGAGCCGCCTCCATCTCGCCGTCGTCGCTCGTAATCTCGACGACTGTGACCTCAGATAACTGCTCATCTGGAACGCGGGCGGCGACGTAACGGACGCAGCCGATGATGATGGGCACGTCGTTTCCTGCTTGCGAGGCGCACGCCATGAAGAATGGCGCAGTGTTCCAGGACGCCGTGGGGCAGTCAATGACGAGGGCCTGCATCCTGTCGTGGCCAACGCGCCATTCGTGGACCGTCTCGATCCGATAGCTCTTCGGCCGACGCAGTAGAGGGTGATCAATAGTGAAGACCCTGCTACCTCCACTGGCGGATGTGCATGTAAGCGTGGCCATGCAGCTGTAGCAAACCCATTCAGGTGTGATATCTGACGTTGCGACGCACACCCTTGGAGCCCATCTCATCCGTCGATCGTCTGCAACGTGTTCGAAGTCACCGAGATTCGCACCAAGGACCAAACGCTCGCAGCAGAAAGCCACAACATTGTTTGGAGCTGGATGCTGGTCTCCTTCATCTCCAATGGCAGGCTGGCTGTCGGGACGAAAATTGACTTCCACTCCGAACGTCTGTAAACTTTGAATGACTGCATCATCTGGGCCGAGAGGGTGTCTGCATACTGGGCACGAGGGGTCACGCACCGATGTCTCGACGAGCCTTCCTATGCAAGCCGCGTGGGCTTTGTGGCCGCATGTGGCGAAGAATACATTCTGGTCTCCAAGTGTGTCCAAGCAAACACTGCACTCCAAAGCCATTGCGAGCCAAAACTGGCAACAGAGTGACACTGGGTCGAACGTCATCGTGGCCAGACTGATGGTGGGCGGTGATTTCCATATCGCGATGGTGATGATATGATGTTGATCGGTGAGTGCGCCCTAGAAACTAGTGGCCATGCAATATGTGCAATCTACGTGGCGCAGTCTGTGCGGTGCAACAATTGGAAGCTATGTGACGCAGTCTATGCGTGCAAGCTATGTTATGCAACGTAGGTGACGTACAGCAGCCGACATATCCACCTACGCGGTGCGAGCTATGCGTTGCAACACATTCGCGGTGAAAGCCATGTGGCTACCCAGGGCGGTAAAGGAGGCTAAGTGTTGCAATATATGTGGCGTTCGCGCCAGCGGGGCGAGGACGGACATGCCTTCGCTTCAGTAGTTGGGGCTGGTCCGACACGGCAGCGGAAGTCATGGGGTGGGGCCGTCTTAGGCCGCGTAGATCAAAAAGAGGGATTGTATACATTCGGATCGTTTCCTCGGATGCTTAAAACTGCCGTATTGAGCCTCTCTTGGGGCGCTTGTGAGCGCTCTTGGGGCCCTCATGGGGCCCTCTTGGGCGCCTCTCGGGGCCATCATGTACCATCCTGGGGCCATCTCGAGCCCTCAAGAGCCCATCGGGAGCGAAAAGGCGCCGATGCCAAACACGTTGATCTTCCCTAGAGTGTGGAGCCATGTTGGCCTCTTGTTTTCTGGGGTGGTCCTTGGGGGCCTCGGAGGGCACTTGAAACCGTATTGGGGCCGTCTTGGGGCCCCCTGGATGCGTGTCGGAGGCTACCTTGAGCCAACTTGAGGTACGTCGGGCAATCTTGGAGGCCAAATTGGGCTCTCGGAAGCCCTCTCGGAGCAATCTGGGGCCCAACAGGACCCTCTGACACATCGCGGAAGGGGTGTGTGCGTGTGTGTCCAGAGGTTGGGCGGGGAGGGGGGGGGAGGGGAGGTACACCCCCCCGAGCAGGGAAAGGTAGGAAAAAGGAAACACGCTAGACCACCTCCGCCCAGAGAGCTGGTGGGATAAGGCAGCGCAACATCCACCGACTAAATGCGCGACGGCAATCACCCGTAAACAACTACTTCGAACAATCACGAGTTAGTGTTGCACGTGTTGGGCGGCGAGGAGGAGGGGGAGGAGGAGGAAGCGGATTGAGAAATAAGAAGAGAGGGAAGATGGGACTGAGGCCCCCCCCCCAGGCACCCCAACGAGCCCCAAGAGGGCCCCACTGCGACCCGACAGAGTCCCAACAGGGTTCCGATGAGGCCCTGAGGAGACCCCAAGATAGCCCCAAGAACGAGCCCCAGGAGGGCCCCAAGAGGGCCCCAGGAAAGAGCCCCAGGATGGCCCCAGGAGAGCCCCAAGAAAGAGC